TGGACCATGCATGTAAAAAATTTGAGTCAAGGTACAAAATGTTCAAATTGGATAGACTAGTAAGTGACGAAAAAATCAGGCTCGTGAACTTGTTATTATAAAGATGTAATTCAATCAAGTTCATGTTCCTTATTCCACAAGGGATTGCACGATGTAAAAGATTAAAATCTAGGAACAAATAGCTCAAATTCACTAAATAACACAACGAAAATGGGATCGAACCTACAAGCTCATTATTAATAAGAACTAATTTAGACAAATTCATCAAGTGACCTATTTTTGGTGGAACGAAACCACTACTCTTGTTTGAAATGCAGTCCAAAAATTCCAAACTGATCAAACCACCAAAAGTTGGAGGGAGTGTCCCATTTATTTGGTTAAGACTCTAGTCCAAAATTTTTAATTTGGTTAAGTTTCCTAGGGTGGAAGGTATTGAACCTATAATTCTACAATGGTCAAATTATAAAGACACCAATCTCTTCAAGTTTCCCAATTCTAGGGGGATATAACCTTCAATCAAATTATAGGAAACATTCAAAACCTTTAATTTAATGAGTTTTCCAAGTGAAGATGGAACTCACCAGTTAGATTATTAAAACTCAAATCGAGGTATTTGAGTGATGATAGCACACCTATTTTGAGGCGTAATGAAACCAATAATTCCATTAAAAGTAGCATTAAGATAGACAAAGTTTTGAAAGCAAGAGAAATTTAACTTTTCAAATTTGTCATGAACAAAAAATAGTTGAACGTCGATTTTATTGACGCTTCCAACACTATTGGATTATAAACCAGGCCATTCATAACATTGTGAAATGTCCTTCCTATAGCTACTCCATCAACCACTATAACTTGTGATAAATAAGATAACTTTAGAATTGATGGCATTTTTATAATTTTACTAGCTAGGTAAAATTAACTATTTAATTTATTTTAATAACATAATTTAACCCTCTTGGTGTTGGTTCCAACATGCACAGAACAAAGGCTAATATTCCTTTTTTATAACAATGCAACATATAAAATCTTTTTATCTTAGTTTATCTTAAATTTATTGTTTTTTCAATCCTGCTCTGTTTAAACATTTCAAACCTTTCTTTCTAGTAATAACCTAAAAGACCAAAAAAATTATGGATGCAAGTCATTTTCTTTCTTTTTTTTTTTTTTTTTTCCTTTTTTAAAATGGATGCTATTCAGATCACAGAAACCTAACAAATTTCCAGTTAAACATACTGATTTACAGTTCATTTTTGCAGTATTTTGAGTTTACCTACCCAAGCTTAGGCTAGCAGTTAATCAGCTTTGGTTAGGAGGATTCAGGTCCAAGGATGGTTTCCCCTTGTACCTCCCATTTCTACCAAATATATGCAAAGGTATGCATGCTTCTTTTCCTTTGGTTGAAAATGAAATCTAGCATTATATGCAGCAAGAGCTGAACTGAATTTCACCCTAAATCAAATCTTCTCAAAGTACTGAAAAGAAGATCCAAGGAAATGGATGGTGTTTCATTTGATCAAATACCTAGCTACCATGAATTTTCTAGATTTTTTTTCTTTCTCTATTTTCTTGGTCACTATCCATGTGCTCATGTAAACATTTCTGTATGTGAAACCTATAGCACAATATGCTATTTAAAGCACCAAGAAACCCTTGTAGCAATCAACCTCAATAATCGCCCCATGGCTGATGCCCAAGCAAAATGTTGTCTGCAGCAAACTACAATGATATACCTTTTAACAACTGAAGATTGAGAATAGAAAACTCATTGTAAAACAAACCTACAAGGTAGAAGCATCAATGGTCTCTTGAAACCAATTGCCAGCCACATGACACTGCTGCTTGAATAGATGATACACAGAGGAGAAATCATTTGTTAAATGTATTATTATATACTGAGGATTGATGATTATCGGTTGATCTGAACTTGGGTGGCCTCTTTTTTATATATGCCCAGCTTCACTTTCATGATCTTCCACCAAACAATGATACAGGGCTAAAATATCAAGAGGATTTACCAAACATAGCATTTACAAAGTAAAGGGAAAATAATTCTAATGTCAGATATTACAAGATTTTATAAGAGAAATTACTAGGTCAATATTATTTTCAAGTCAAGAAGGGTTTGTGACCGAAATTACTTTGACAGCATTTATAATTTTGGGTCAAAGAATAGAAAGACAAATAACTCTTGAAAAAAGTACCTAATTGGCAGATGAGAACTTGAGTTCAGATCAGCAATCAAGCAGACATCTATGCCTGAGACCACCAGATTTAAGTTTGCAACTTGGACTGCTACTTGATTCACAAGCAATGAAAATTTTCTCCTATAATAACCATTTCTATCACATAAGTTTGAAGACGAATATTAATAAAATCTTTAAACATTGGTATTAATATCAATAAAATCGGCTTCTATGGCCAATATAACATATATATAAATATATATAAAGTAAATTTGTTTCTTGAGAACCCTATTTTACATTTGAAATCTTTTAACATGTAAAGGTTTTGTTGCTCAACCAAAAAAAAAAAAAAAAATCAGTTCTCAGATTTTCAGACATGTCACAAGCCAAATTCAAGATAAAGAGTGCAACTCAACCTTATTTGTGAAACCTTGTGATTGGTATACCCCTACCATCCATCCCATGTTGTTGATTCTAGCAAGACACTAAGTAAACAATCTAAATGATTTGTTTTCTGGAAGGTAAAAGTATGCCAGACTCCGCAGCAGAAAACAAAGTAGCTCTAAAATAATGCTGAGGACAAAGATCATAAACTAAAAACATTGTCTCTTTCCTCTTTTGCAGGCCATCAAAAATATAGCATTAGCCAGGTGCTCTCTACATGGTGTGAGACATTGCTATCTCAAAAGATTAGTTTTGATAAACATACTTGGTCTGTTGGTCAATATTATGTTCAATTCAAGAGGGATTCATGATTGAAATGACTTTGACTGCATGTATATTTTTAGGACAAAGAATGGGAAATAATTCTTGAAAAAAATACCTAATTGGCATCTGAAACCTTGAGTTCAGAACTGCAATCAACCAGATATTTACACCTTGGAGCACCAGATCTTAAATTTGCAACTTGCAATGCTACTTGACATACAAGTAATGGAAATTTTCATATAGATAAAATCTTTAAACATTGATATTAATCTCAATAAAGTTCGCTTCTGTGGCCATTTTATAAATTAAATTTGTTTCTTGAGAACACTATTTTATATTTTAACTTCTTAATATGTTAAGTTTTTGTTACTAAAAAAGAAAATCAGTTCTAAGATTTTCAAAGACTAGTCATGAGCCGAACTCAAGATAAAGAGTGCAACTCAACCTTGCTTGTGCAACCTTGTGATTACTATTCCCCCAGTATCCATCTCATGTTGTTGAGTCTAGCAAGACACTAAATAAACAATCTAAATAGTTTTTGTCTTCTGGAAGGTAACAGCATGTCATAGACTCAAAGCTGTGAGAATATATTAGCACTAAAATAATGCCGAAGACAGATCATAAACTAAAAACATTGTCTCTTTTCCAGGCCATTAAAGATATAGCATTGGCTAGGTCCTTTCCACCTGGTGTGAGCCATTGCAATCTTAAAAGATTTGTTTTGGTAAACATACTTGTCACATTATCTGAAAACATAACTTTGACCACTTACTGGGAAGATGAACTAAATTTACCATTCACAGTTCAAGAAACATGTATCAAAAGGGAAACTAAATTCCAAGTCTCCAAAATATATTACTAGATGTATAAGAAAATACAAGTAGAAATGCATACCACATCCAGTAGTTGGGTTTATTGTCATGGAACAGAAAACAAGTTCAAACTGGCTATGCATATATTTTGAGATATGACAAACAGGAGTTCGAGACAACTAATCAAGACTGAGAAACAAGCACATGTTTAGACCAATCTTGTGTTTGCAGTTCCATTAAGAAAGAGGCAAAAAATTTTTCAAACAATCACTCAGCAGGACAGAAGGATCACGAAGGGCAAAGAGTCAGTCTTCAATTCCCCTCGAAGACTTCCAACATTCCTGCATCTGAAGTTGACAATGGCTTAGAATATTGGAAGCCTTTGAGGGAACTTAAAGACTTCTCCATTCTTAAGAAATATTACTTCACTAATTATATATTTTACTTAGCCATACCAAAATATGAGGCTGCATCCAGTATTTATAAGGACAACCACCTCTACTTGCTTCAGGAAGTTGATCAAATCCAAAATTCCATCTTTTCCTTCAATTGCTTTTTTAATTTTCAGGTTGATCTGCAATCTTTTAAATTATCATACGATCTTAATCACAACTAATCAATTCATCCACTTATAAGTGCACTAATCTTCAGCTTTTTCTCAATGCCAGCTTAATTTAATTTGTTATTAACCAATACTATGACACTAGCATATGTTTGGCATCTGGTAACTGTAGCCTGAACTTTTGGGGGAATAAAGAGTTATTAGGATGGACTAATTCCCTACTTCAAAGGTCAAGGAAATCAACCGTATCTTTCCTTTCCATGGGAATTTCAACCTTGGGTGGATATTAAATACTTTATTAATTCAACAAGTCTACCAGAAAAACGGCAAACCACCATAAATGCCAATCTTTGGCGTTGGAATCCATAGCCACCCAAAAGTTCTTATAGGTTTTCAACTGCCGAAGAATAATGACCAGGAACCATGGGTTGAGATTTTCATCTTTTTGAACAAGTTATACAAAGGCAAAGACAAACATATTCTTTCTAGAGATATTATGTGATCCACTATTTTCTTCTTTTTTTTTTTTTTGGGTACAATTATGTGATTCACTATAATCTTTCTATAGTTTAAAGATATATAGCATGCAGTCATGAAATGAATTTCTAGGTTTCTAACAGGTACTATATCACTATATATGTTGATCGATCTCCTCCACATGAGACTTTTTGTTTTAGTCATTTTTTAATCTTGGCCAAAGAAGCTTCTTATTGCAAAATTTTATGAGAAAGGCATGCGAAAATAGTTAATTAGCATTATCAATGTTTATACATAACACAGACATATTCCAACTTCACTAACAATGTAAAGTTGTTAGTGTCAGTTCCATTAAATTCAAAAGTACTTTTTATCTCATTCAATATGAATTTCTAACTCTTTTAGCAATATTAATTATGAATGTCATTTCCTATCCAAAGATCATAGATACTAGTTAAATCAAATAAACCCACCCAAGATTCATGTTAAACATACTAATTTACATTTTTGTCATAGTATCACTTGCCTGCAAGCTGCACCATGCAAAGGCATCCTTCTTTCCTGTGATTTGAAAATGAAATCTGGCATATGATGCTGTAGGAAGTGAACTGAACTCTCCTTTCAAATCAAATCTTGTTAGGAATATTTTCCCATCAAAATCTTCTAGAAGTGCTCAAAAGAAAATTCAAGGAAGAGGAGGGCCACCCTTAAATTCATTGTGTATCACAGTCATTAGACCAAAATGAATTCATGCAAGTAACCTGATTTTTCTCATTTTCATATCCAATACAAGCTAAATGCCATGAAACGTTTACAAACTGCCTTCATCTAGATTAGCTGAATAGATCATAATGCTCATGATAAATCCAAACTGATTGTGCTTCTTACCAATAATCTCCACAAGAACACTGATTGTGCTTCTTACCAATAATCTCCACAAGAACAAACTCCATCTTTAAAATGATGAAAACGGTTTGCATCCCTCACAACTATCTCCCTGTTAACAAGCTTTGAGATAAGCTTGGTGGCTGAATGACAATTAATACATGCCCGCAGATTCTTTGTTATCCTAAGTGTAGTTCCTGGTGCAGTACTTATTAAGCCAAAGGCAATTGCTAACCTTTCACTGTGATTACAAAGGGTTTCCTCGATCTCTTCATAATTCAAATCATGCAAGGAAGAATCTGTATGTGGAATGAATCCAGCTTGCTTCAACCTTCTCTCCAATGACTCAAGTTCCTCATAAATCTCCTTAGATCGTGGATGTGATTTGTCTCCTACACAAAATGCTTGAAGTTTCCCATTTATCTCAATCAAACTATATCCCAGGTCCTTGCTTAGTCCCTTCTCCCTCATCAAAACTCGTATCTTTGCAACACGATCCCACATTCTGGAAGAAGCATAGAGATTGGAGAGCTGCACATAATGCCCTGTATTATAAGATTCTAGTGAGAAAAGCCGTTCTGCAGCATATTCTCCAAGTGTCACATGGCGATGAATCTTGCAAGCACTTAGAAGTGCTCCCCACACTGATACACCTGGTTCTATTGGCATATTCATAATAAAATCATAAGCTTGATCTAGATAACCAGCACGCCCAAGAAGATCAACCACACAAGCATAATGTTGGTGGCAGGGCTCAATTCCATAGTCTTTCATGCTGTGGAAAAGTTGCCATCCATCTTCTACACGACCTGAATGGTTGCAAGCTGTGAGAAGTCCAAGAAAAGTGACATCATTAGGGCAGACACCTGCTTGCTTCATCAATTGGTACAGGTCTAAGGCTTCTCGTCCCCTACCATGCAATCCATATCCCACAATCATGGCACTCCACATAACAACATCTTTATCAAGTGTTCTATCAAAGACCATGCGGGCCATATCAACATTTCCACATTTTGCAAACATATCAATAAGAGCTGAGTTGACAAAAATATCATCTGTATGCTCACTTTTACCGATATAATTGTCCATCCATCTAGCTAACTCAATAGAACCCACTTGTGCACAAGCTATAACAGCAGACCTGACCGTTATGGAATCTGTTCTGATATTGTTAGAAATCATCTCACGGAAAAGTTCTACAGCTTCCTCAGCATAACCATTCTTTGCATAACCAGAGATCATGGCATTCCACAATATCAAATTAGGAACCTTCATTTGATCAAAAAAGGATCTGGCAACCATTACTTGCCCACATTTGGCATACATTGCAGTCAGCGCAATGAGCAAGTCAGGCTCCAATTCAAGCCCTGTCTTAATAACAAAGCCGTGGATAGATTTCCCATGTTCCAGATCCTCAACATCTGTATGTGCCCTAATAACACTAACAAGAGCAACCCAATCTGGCATTACACCCGTTTCCCGCATTTCATCAAAAACGCTCAAAGCCTCTATAGGCAGTCCATTCTGAGAATACCCCGAAATCATGGAAGTCCAAGAAACAACATTCCTAAACTTTAACCCATCAAAAACAACCTTGGCACTTGCAATTTTCCCACATTTCGCATAAAAAGCAACCACCCCGTTTTGAACAAATACATCCTTTTCAAACCCAAGCCTAAATATCTGCCCGTGAACTCTTCGCCCCATTTCAAAACCCGGTAATCCACCACAAGCTTTAAGGACATGAGGCAGTGTATAACCATCAGGACTAACCCAAAGAACTTGCATTGTTGAATACATTTCAATAGCATTAGCAAACATATTATACTTAGAATAACCTCTAATGATTGCATTCCATAAATACACATCTGGCTCAGGAAATTCATCGAACACTTTACGTGCATAACTGATTTCTCCAAGTTTTACAGCTGAATTAATGAGCTTTGTGATTAGAAAACCATTTTGATGAATACCAAGGAGGAGTAACTTAGCATGGATTTGGGTTAAGTTGGTTTTCTGGGTCGAATTGTCGATTAAATTAGAATAGAAGGAATCGAAATTGAAGGTGTGAAAGATGAGTGAATTATCATTTGAAGAGAAGTGTTTGAGAAATTTGAATGAGGTGGCGGGAAACTTAATTGATAGTACCGTTGCAAAGTCTAACAATGTGATTTTTGTGGGATAAAGAGAACAAAGCGAATAAAAAGGGTGTGAGATTTTTGAAAGGAGAAAAGGACTTGAAGCCATAAAAAGCGATTAATGGCATCATTCCATTTGCTAATGGAAGTTATTACTTATTTTGGGGGGAAAAGTTGATGCGAGGGCTGCCTTGCCACGCACTTCCCTTGTTAAAACCTCACGCCCTCAGCCACTACCTGCAAAGATGCTTGGTATTGCTCTCTTAGGCATGACGGCTAACGTGCCTTTGGTGTTTTTTTTTTTTTTTGGATAAACTGAATTTTTATTCATTCAAAGTCGGTAGGAATCTACTACAATATAATTATTTTATAACTTAACAAACAGAGAAAAAATAATTCGTTAACAGCTTATTCTGAAAATTCTACATTCAGATTCTAATCTTTTCTAAGTGTTTTATTTATCATATCTCCTGCAATATGTTTCAATTCACGCAGGCTGTACCTTACAATTTTCTTGACTTTGTCCACCATTTGTGCAGTTGTCATCTTCCTTTGCTTGAATACCCTTTGATTCCTTTCCCCCCATATGAAATATATACATGCGTTCTAGGTAATTCTCAACAAAATTGAGATCAAAGCTTTTCCTTTTAATTTGTTTTCCGCTCAGCTTAGTTCTGTGTCTCAATTTCCTACTCTTTTATCAATGTTGCATAGCTGAAGTATCTTTTGCCAAACTTCTTTTGTATAGACACACTCAAAGTAAACATGGTCTCTTGTTTCGTCTTCATTGTGGCATAAGTTGCATCTACTATCAATTCTCATTCCCCATGATCACAACCTATCCTTCATCGGAAGCCTATTTAAGATCGCCATCCACGTTATTAGTGAATGTTTTGGGATGTGATATTTGAACCATATTAGTTTCTGCCATCCCACTTTCCGTTGTTGTCGTTTGATCTTTTTTCATACCATGGCAATGTCATATTGTCCTTTTGAAAATGACCATACCTCCACTCCGTTTTCCTTTTTGATGAACTTTTGCACGATCTACCTTTTTTATGTGCCTTTGGTGTTTGAAAGAGCATACTAATAACTTTTAGAATCATGGTTTGCAGCCATTCATACAGTTGTGCTCTTCATAGCCATGCTTAGAAAGTCTGTTATAATCACAGATTTAAATCCAATGCGATTGCGGACTTAATGGGAACTATTATTGTTATCGTGTTTATTGCAATTCTGTAAAAATTGATTTCCAAAAAATATTTAGTTTCATTTTTGTCAAGATGGTGCTGGCAAACCATCCTACTTAAAATGTTCAACAAGGAAAATGGGATTGATTAACCCAGTTTGACATGCTCATTTTCCTTTTGAATTAGTGTGCAACCCAATCCGTTGCTGCATTTATAGATCTGCTGATCCAATTAACTTTGAATCCCTCAAATTTCCCTTCATTCCTTCTATGTCTTTTACCATTGGGACTACTCGTCAGTTCCTCATGCTTTCCTTCTGCCTCAGTCCATTGTACACAATGTTAGAATCTATTTCCATAATTATCTTCCTAATCCTCATTTTACTAGCGTGCACCACTCCCTCTTTCACAGCTAATGCTTCAGCCTCTGCAGCATCATGCACTGCTACTTCTTTTCCCTCTTTGCCCACCAATTCTCCTTCAAAGTTTCTTATAACCACGCCTATGTAATATCCCAACCCAAATTATAATTGAGCTAAACTATTACCAAAACCCATTAATTTATTAATAGATTAATTATTAAAAATAAAAAGTAGCTGAGATATTTTATCAAAGAAAACTTAGTTATCGTAAAACAAAAAAGAAAAACTAAGCTCTTTTTTCTTACCTTTCTTAGGGTTAGAGAGTATGAAAAATCAAGTTGAGAATTTGAAATCGGAGACTACAATTGAGTTAATCTCTTAAAGATGAGTAAATGCTATATTTTTATTTTTAAAAAAATAACATGTTGATTGTTATTATTTAAAGTTGAAGTTTTAAAAGAAAAACTAAGAAAAATTATGAAATCTATGAAATCTTTTATTAATTGTCATAATCTATTTGAGTAAATTATTGAGCTTTATTTACTTCATGTTATTAAGATTTGTTAGCTCAAAGACTTAAAATAAACAAAGAGGGAGGTGAATTGGTTGATAATAAATTTTTCAAAATTCAATATCTAATAAGCACAAATTTTACAAATTAATTTTTCTAAGCAAATAACACAACAAATGAGTATATTAACAATCTTAAAGTAAGAGATAGAGATAAAAAATCAAACACCGAAATTTATAGAAGTTCGGGCCTTCTATTAGGCGCCTATGTTCTCTCCCTTAGCCTCACTTACCAAAAAGTTTAATCCACTATATATTGAATGTTACAACCTAGCTCTTTAAAGTTCTATATAATCAATACCACAATCTTTTAAGGGTTATCATTCCCTTTAATCTTACAACCTCACAATACAAGCTTTTGAGTGTTTTAAAAATTCAAAAAACCTCTTTAAAGTTGGGTGTTTGCTAATTTGAAGTACAAATCAAAATTAATAAGAGTATTAAAAGAAAATCTGATACAACAAGAATTTATGCACTTTTCTTACACTAATATACTCTTTGATGCTTGAAGAGGATGGTAGATGCAATAAGTTTTTTCAGCTTTTTCATTCTCTTCAAATGTAGTGGAAAACCTTCATTTATACATTGAAAGAGTAAAATAGTTGTTGCTTGCATTTAATGCTTGAAACTTGCAAAATTTTAGACAAAATAATAGTCGTTGGGACTTTTTGGGCACCAGAGAATCGATCCCCTCATATAGGAGATCGATTGGGTCAGTGGAAATCAAGACCAATTTTGTGCATTATCAAACTACCTGGTTGATCAGGTGAAGGACTAGATCAATCCCTTATCCCAGGTGATCAATCCTTTATGTAGAGGGATCGATTCCTTCTACAAATTTTAAAACCCATTTTGCTTCTATATAAAAAATGGATCAATCCCTTTAAAGAGAGAATTGATCAGTTTACATAGAAAACCTAGCCAATCGATCTCTACAAAGAGGGGATGGATTGATTTTTTGAAAAACTTGCACAAGATAGGCTGTTAGAAGAAAAATGGATCGATCCTTTAGCTAGGGGATCGATTAGGTCATGTGAAATAATCGATCTCTCCCTTAGGGGATCAATCCATTCTATCCCAGATTGTCCAAAAGTCTATTTTTGTTTCCAAAACATGTGTTGCTTTAGTTCAAAAATAATTTTTAGCAAGATAGAAGTTGAAAAAATGTTCAATTTGAGATAAAATAAATTTGATTCATGTTAGGAAAATTTTTGCTTTATCAATTCAAAAACTTTTATCAATTCAAGGCCAACAATCTCCTTTTTTTGATATGACAAAACCAACTAAAAAACTTGCTTTAAAAGCATTTTTCCATTTGAAAAGTAGGCTTCCTTTCACTTTTAGCATAAAAAAATTTAAACAAGCTAAGAACAAGAATATAACTATTAATATCAAGATCATTAATAGACAAGGCAATATCTATCAATATCAAGATCATTAATAGATAAGGCAATATCTATATATCCATTTAGAATTACTCCCTCTATAACATATGAGCAAGTCATCAAATGACCCTTTGTTGTAAACCTTGTTTCAACAAGAATTTTTCATTTCATTACTTCTCTTCTTTTTTGTCATTTCAAAAAATTCAAGACAATCAAAGTAATACGACAATCAAGTCAAAGCAATAATAAGCTCAATATATGTTCAAATCAAATCAACTTAATTCCACAACTCAATGCCATAGCAAATCAATCAATATACCAATTTCCACATAACATCAAATTTAAATCAATTCCAATGCAATACACCAAATGCCACTATGAAAATAAAATGCATACATCATTAATATAAATGTCAAATAACGAGGTTTAAAAACATAATGCAAAATGTCTTTAAGAAAATTAAAACTTAAAAAGATAAATATGTAGGGAAAACATCCAAGGCATGGCACCAAGGTAGATCATTAAAGAGAAAGATAAGGTGGGAAATGGTGGAAGTGCTAGTTCATCTCAGTCCTCATTTGACAAATTTTTTCAATCATGGCATTCTGATTTAACTCTAAAATTTCAAGCCTTAAATTCATGTCTCCAACTATAGAGTGCAAGCTATTCATTTAAACCATCATAATTTGTAATGCACCTTAAGTATCAAATGGTGGACTAGAGAGTTCTTATTGAGGTACATCAGGAATACCAAGAACATCATGCTCTTATTCTTTTTGCACAACCCTAATTTTTGTCTTTCTAATCCATAAACTAATTGTATTTTATATATAATCCATACCATGCAAAGTATAAACTCCAAAAATACTAAATGGGTCATTAAATACAATCTCTCTATCACTTCTAATGTTAATACCCAATTTCTTCAATAGATTACTTATAGCAAAACCATACACTAAAGTTTAATCTCTATTTTGAACTATTCTCATTATGTTATTAAAGATAAAGTGCACAAGTTTAAGTTTCTCCTTATGTTTGATCTTGTACATCTACCAGTAATCTTGTTTCCTAATAGTTGAATAATTGGTGCCAAATGGTGCCAAAACATGAGTAATTATAAGGTGTAATAATTTATCATACGTAGAGAGTTTAGTGGCCTATGTAGGAGCAATTCTCAAGTTTTCATTCCCAAAGATATCTTGAGCTAAATCTGACATTTCACACATAGTGTTTGTGTCCTCATCATCATCTAGTATAAAAGTTTCAGTCAACAATTACTTATTAACCACAATCTCTCTACCCATCACAAAAGTTTTGAACCTATCAAGATAATATCTATTTTCAGTCCTTTCAATCTCAATACATGTAGCATTACTATAGAACACCTTGACTAGATTCTCATAAACTATTTCATCCATGCACATATAATTCATTTAGCCAAAATCTTCAAATACATGTAGATAAAGAAACTCAATAGATTGGAAAAATTCAAAAGATATTACACTTGTCATGCTTAATCTCCCTATGAGCAAAATTTGCTTCATACCTTTTCTTAGCACCAAGATTCATAAAATTCTAATTGAATGATGACTTAATTGATGAACTAAAAGCCTCCCTTAGAGGACTCCTTCTTATTCCAACACTTTTTTTGGTTTTAGATGTCATAGGAAAATTGGACATAAGAAATAGGTAATCTTTGATGAAATAGATGAAGGAAACTAACAATATAGGTGATAAGAAGCGATATAGGCTTGTGAGAAGTAAGAATGTTGAATGAATGATGAAGGTTCAAA